AATGAGAAAACTGTGGAGCTCCAGGAGTGACAGGTGGAAACCCTTAACCCCTGAGCCTGACCCCCCACCCCCCAGACCACATGCTGCAGGAACAAGACTGCTTTCACGATGAAAATAGCCAAATACCAGTGCTGGAAAAAGTATTTGGCTCTTGTGATTAAGGGAAAGTAGTAATACCATGGTTTAGAAATACTCAGTGAAAGTCATGCATTCAAGTGAAAGTGCAAAAGTATTGGCATTAAATTAAACTTTAAGTGCGTATACCAATATAACTCATTGTGCAGCATGGCCATGTGTTCAAAATAATATATAAATACATACATATATAAATCACAGGATATGTTTAGCAGTAAAGAGGCCCTATTATCCTTTGGGGGTTTCCCCTTTCCTCTGGTGTGTTTAGGTTTTAGTGCATGTAAATGGTCTGCAAAGGCTTAAATCCCTGTTTTCCCTCTCCCTCTCTGAAACGCCTCAATTGGACTCCTTTGTTTACTTCCAGAACATAGTGACATCACTATGTAACAATTGTTCTTCTATCGGCTAGCGCTCCAACACATTGTGCGTGATAGGCTAAGGTTGCCTTCAACTTACAGTGAAGTAAAAGTATAGGAGCGGAAAATGGAAATAGTCAAGTAAAATACCTCAAATGTGTACTTCTGTAAATGTATTTAGTTGGTCCACCATTGGACGAAGGTAGGAGAAGAAGTACTTCAGTTCAAGTAGCGATACTACAGGGTAAGTCATGTATTCAAGGTAGTACTCAAGTAAAAGTACAAAATACACTTCAGTAGCACAAGTAAAACTACTTGCTATGCAGTATGGCCCATTTCAGATGATATACATACAATTATTGAGCCATTAATGTGTTCATAGCTTTGGTAAACGTGGGTTTATTTTGAGTACTTATATACTACTTGGTACTTAAGCCTATAATAACACATCATAATTAATTAGTTGATTTATTTTTGTAATAATAATCACCAAAATTAACCTATGAATCCGCCTAAATCTACAAAGTAGCGGGTTACTATAATAATTGCTCTATTTTAGATACAAAATAAAGTACATCAATATCGTACCTGAGTTGGCTTTATGTACTTAGTTTTTTGTCCAACCCTGCCCGATAGTAAGACAAAAATCAATATGTAGGCTTCATTAAACCACTTTACTATGTATGAACTATGAATTGGTTGCAATGCTAGCTTCTCACACACACACACACACACACACACACACACATTATGAGCAGGTTTGAACCTCTCGCAGGCAGTGCTGGAATTGGGCCGGTACTCACCGGTACGCAGTACCGGCACTTCTGGTTCTGACCCATGGAGTACCGGCACTTCTTACTCAGTACCGGCATGCTGGCGGTACTCCGGTACTCATGCACCGTGCCAGTACTCAACACTCTCCCGCCGTTCTTATTATACATCCATATATATATATACAGCCGCCCGGTACTCAGTAGATGCGTCATGAGGTGCCGAACGGACATTCTCATCGCTCTAACCGCTGGAGTTTCACAGCGGCTGTCAGCTGTTTACTCCTGTCATTCAAACAGAACGTGCTGGAGAGGGGGCGGGGCTTATCTTCTCCATGTAAATACTGTGGTGGAAACGACTATGTCAAAATTAACCTATTTGACCGTGATTTAATAGTAATACACGTTTCAAAATAATAATAATGCCGAAGTAACAACATACTGAAAACGGTTAGTAAAACCATGTTTTAATGCTTTACAATTTACATACCTAGATGCACGTGTGTTGTGTTTATGCAGTGCAACTCCCACCCAGTGGGTGGCTATGTAGAGTAATAGAACAGAGCAGGCACGCCCCCTAGAGAAGGAAAGCAAGTCACGTCACAAATTAGCATTTCTAAAATGTTAGCGTGGATTAATAAAAGTGCAAAAAGACAGCGGTTCGGAAGAAACTTCAAATACAGAGAATGCTGTGCCTGTGTTGGAAATTGTGTCTGATGGGGAGCTTTCTTTGGTTGATCCTCCTGCTCCAAGTTCTAGTGCATTAGCATTAGCACTAGCTCCGCCGCCTCCTCCGCCGCCTCTAACGTTAGCTGCTGCTGGCTCAACTGCCACCACCAACACCGGGCAAAGCGATGCTGGACTGACTGCTGGACAACGGACCAGGTGCAATATTTTTGCAAGACCAATGCATGGCTCCTTCTTAAAGATAAGAAGCTAGGATGTCGGATATGCAGAGATGTCAAATCTTTGGGAATACACACTGGACAAGGACTGAAACTGTCAACTGAATGGGGTGAGTGTGCAGTGTCTCATTTCGGTGTTGACAAGGGCAAACAACAAGCTAGCCTGAGAAAAAAAATCAAAGAACATAAAGAATCACAAGCCCATGTAAAAGCTGCTGACATCCTTACATCTGCTTCACGTGAAACTATTCAACATCAAGTGCAGTCTATGCATAAATCTGAATTAGACACCACTATCAGAGTTTTTCGAACGGCATATAAAATTGGCAAACATAGCCGGCCATTCACAGACATGCCAATTGATTTGAATGTACAGAAACTGAATGGGCTGAACGTGGGCAGGGTTTTGCACTCCAATAAAACCTGTGGCGAAATCATCGACCACATAGCTCATGAGCTGAAGAAAAAAAATGGCAAAAGACATTACAGAAAACCAAAGAAAACTCTGTGTTTTGGTCGATGAATCTACCACTATTAGTGGTAAAACGGTGCTTGTTGTGTGTCTACGCTCAGCATTAGCTGATGCTGAGCCCGAAACGTTTTTTTGGGAGCTGATCGAGTTGGATGGAACAAAGGCTGATGACATCACAAAGGCGTTAATGGAGTGTCTCGGAAGAGATTTTAACGAGGACTTTTTAGGTCAGTGTTTCGTTTCTTTTGCATGTGATGGGGCTTCAGTCATGCTAGGGAAGAGAACAGGCGTTGCTACCCAGTTGTGTAGTAAATTCCCAAGCCTGTTTGTGTGGCACTGCTCCAATCATCGTCTAGAGCTGGCAGTTGGGGATGTGGTCAAGGAGGTCTCAGGGCTCAATCATTTCCAGATCTTTTTTGACAAACTCTATTCCTTGTTCCATGCCTCCCCCAAAAATCAGAGGCAGTTAGCGCAGTGTGCGCAAGCAGTCGGACAGCGTCTCCTGGTGATAGGGCGTGTTTTGTCCATCCGCTGGGTGGCTTCAAGTGAAAGGAGCGTCAGAGCAGTCTGGGAAAACTACCGAGTGCTTCATGATCACTTCACAAATGCTGCAAACGACACGAGCAGGGATTCCAGAGACAGAGCAAAGTACAAGGGCCTGGATGATGTGCTCACATCTGCAACGTTTGTCAGCAATCTGGGACTGATGTACGATGCGCTCACAGAGCTCAGCGACCTCTCTCGGCAACTCCAAAAAAGAGAGATGACACTGCCTACAGCAGATAGGCTCTTAACTCGAGAAATACGAGTTTTTGAATCCATGGTCACCATGCCTGGCCCACACATGACTACAGTTCATACAGCTCTAGCTGAGAAGTCCTTCAAGGGTGTTGCCCTGCGTGAGAATGGCAGGCTTGTACAGATTCATGCAGGTCAGTTTTTCCGCAGTATGGTAGAGAATCTGAGACACAGAATGACTTCCACAACCTCCTCTCATGTCAGCACAAGAGAAATCCCATTACATGGCCGGGAGGCCCGGGACAATCAGCTAATCCAGGACATGAAAGTTATCCATCCTGGAAGTTGGCCTGAAGAGGAGTTAGACGTACAGTATGGGGACGTAGAGGTGCTACGTTTGTGCGAAGTGCTGAAAGTGGACAGAAGAGAGACTGTTCAGGGCTTTCCCGAATACAAGGAAACCAGGGCATCCCGTACACCTGCTGCCATGGAGCCTCTACTGTAAGCAGTCCGAACCATCGCTGTCTCCACTAGTGAGTGTGAGCGGGCATTCAGCTGCATGAACGATATCCTTACTGCAAAAAGGAATGCTCTCTCTGTCAGCCGACTGTCCAGCCTGGTTTTCATTAAATGTAATGGACCATCACTAGGACAGTTCAATCCGGAACAGTATGTGAGGTCCTGGCTGGCAAAGGGAAGGAGAAGTGCTGATGAAAGAGCCTGTCCAGCTCCAGCCCCTGATACTGATGTCCCCAAGGCCTTCTGGAGCCTTTTCTAACAATGTGAAGTATATTGCAAAGCAGCTCACCCAGTGAGAAGACTTTTGGCATAATGTGCCGATTTGTACAGATCCTGGAGATAGAAGGACTTCAGACCAACCAGGGAGTTATCTGATCAGCTTGGTGTTCAATGTAACTATTTACCATGGCTCAGACTTTGTTACTTGCAGTTACAGTTTCTCATTTTAGATTGTGCAAATGTTGCATTTGTTTTTACATGTTCTTTGTTCATGCTCTTTATCATTTTTCTGAGTTGGAAAGTTAGATTGCATCATAGTTTACTTTATACATATTTGTATTCTTCAGTGGTGACGTATATTGCAAAGCAGCTCAGCCATGTGAGAAGACTTTTGGCACTTTTTCGTTTTTCGTTTTCTGAGTTGGAAAGTTAGATTGCATTCAAAATGTACAGAAATACTTAATTTTGTTAAAGCTTTTTATAAAAAATGCTTCTGACCAGAGCTTTGTTTCCTTGTCATTAATGTTGAACACCACCAGAGGGGCTCTCACCTGAAAGGTCTCTGCTTCATGTGTCTTCAGCAGAAGATCTAGACTTTGATTGCTATATTTTCAGTTAATATTGACCTTACTGAGCTTTAGCCATATCCGCTGCCTATCATAAAAAATGTTAAGTACAGTGAACCTTTCTAAAATATACAGTAGTAAAGAGACAAACCCACCAGCATTATAGTAGCCAAATTCTTGTTTGTGGGCTGTATATATAAAATTGACTTGAAAAAGTTGCTGATTTTAGAGTACTGGCACCTTTTTCATTCCAATTCAAGCACTGCTCGCAGGGTCAACAGTAGCTCCACAGTTTGCAGAGGTTCAGTGAATTAACTTACTATTTCTGCCGCCAGGATCACTCCCTTCGGTGTTTTCACGTAATCCTTCAGCTTCTGCAGAAAGTTGGCCCCGGTGCTGTCTGCGTTGGTATCTCCCATGTTGTAAAATGTATCAAAACACCGAGTGTGTGTTCGTGTTGGAGCCTTTATGCCCAGAAAACCGACGCGCGTAGAATAAGAAATGTAGCAACAGGAGGAAAAGTAGTCCCTCTGTGGGGAGGTTTTTTCCGGATGAATCAACTTCTCCGAGGTATAAATCTCTGGGAAATGTTCAGCCACGACCACACCAGCTCCGTAGAAACGCTGCTTTCAGAGTGTGTGTGTGTGTGTGTGTGGAGGGAGCGAGGGAGGAGGAAGGGAGGGTTTAAGGAGCTGACAGAGGGGCGTTGGCTTTCACTTCTATCTCAAGGGGAGTGTGTGTGTGTGTGTGTGTGTGTGTGTGTGTGTGTGTGTGTGTGTGTGTGTGTGTGTGTGTGTGTGTGTGTGTGTGTGTGGTGTGTGTGTGTGTGTGTGTGTGCGTGCGTGCGTGCGTGCGTGCGTGCGTGGGTGGGTGGGTGGGTGGATGGGTGGGTGGGTGGGCACCGCGCTGGCACCACCGAGACGCGTGATGCCTTCAGGTGCTCCTCGGAAACTATAACCTGTTGCATCTGTTACCGTAAATGTGGCTGCAATTCAGTTCAAATGTAAATAGTAACAAATATTGGCCAGATAGACATATTTAAACACATTATTAGGATTTTTATCAATCATAAGGAACGTAATAAAACGTAAAAATAACGACAAGTTAGCTTTAAATATGATGTTGTCTTTAAATGGCTACTGTGTATTGTATTCAGCATGGGCGTCACTTTCTAAGAAATGGTGGTGGAGACATTTTTCTCCAGATATAACATCAGCATATCAGAAGACAAGATTGCATAGACCTCTGGACCACCAATGTGTAAAACGAATTATATTATATTATATTTCTAATATATCTTATTGTGAGTTGGAGCAAATGTGTACCTTTATGCGCACAACGAGCACATAGGTATGGAGGACAGAACATGACACGAGTAAAACATAAATACAGGAATAAAATAATACAAGAATAAATTAATACATATTACAATAAATACATAAATGAATGTAGGCCTATTTATACATTAAAATTAAAATTGAGAACAAAACAGAGCACACATTATTATATATCTATTATGTATTTCTACTTTTATTTTTGTAAAAACGTACATATTTATTTATTTTGTAAATGTTTACTCATTTATATATTTGTTATATAGTACTATTATTATTATTACATACATATATGTGTTATGAAACTGGGCTATTATGCCTAACAATCCTTTAAAAAACCGTTTTCAAGGTTTGGAGGCGTGTGGCGCAGTGGGTTAGTGCATTGGTGTTGATCAGGTTCAAACCTCACTGCAGTCAGCATGTCGTTGTGTCCCTGAGACACTTGTAATGGCAAACTTTGCATATATGTAGTTTAAAGGTTTATTTTAGTGCAGACTTTATATTTTACCTTACATGGACACATCTACTGCAGTTCCTAGAATGATGTGTTTTGCTTGTAACCTCTGTCAGCACTTTCAGCAGTTCTTATAATAATATATTTCAGCTTAAAACCTCTGTCAGTATTTTTGCAACAGTGTCTGTAAGGATGTATTGACACTCATGACCTTTAAAATGTCGAAGTAAGGTCTGGGTGATGTGTTTTAGTTCATGTCCTTTGCCTCCCTGGAAAGTGACATTTAAGGTCATCTAAGGTCTGAACTTGATGAGGGGGCTGGGTACCAAGCGCAGGGCAATGGGCAAGTTCCTGTTTAGTTTCCCTGTCTTATCATCAAGTTCCCCATTTCTTAGCCCTCCATCTGCTGCTGACAAGTTTCCTCACTTCCCTCTTGCTGAACGGGCCCCTGGTTCAATCTATTAGTGATTGAGTTTCAGTTCCTTTGGAAAGCTTATCTCTCCTGCCAGGGCCCCTCCTAATAAGTGACGGAATGTTGTTGAACTGACAAAATCCTTTATAACCTGTATGCATTTTCTACTCTGCGCGCACTCTCTAAGGATACTCTGTGTTCTGTGAGACCTGTGTCTTTGAAGCTTCAAATAAATAACCGGAAAGACAACTCTGTCTGTTTCACCATTTATTGTTTGATATTTCTGACTTGTGTATCTCCACAGTATTGACTAGGTCTAAGATTTCCATAACACACTTCACCCCAAATTAATCCTGTGGGGATTGTCCACAGTATTGAGTAGCCTGTGTAAGTCGCTTTGGATAAAAAGCGACTAACAAGTAACATGTAATGTTTGATTTCACCTTTGTGTGTGTTGTTTTGCAATCTTTGTATAACTAGTGCTTTTGTTGTTGTTGTTGAAATCTATCCAAATGTAGTCATTTAAAATATCTATCAACGATAACCTGTTTGGAACCTATATTTTGTATACAATGCATTTTTTAAATTACGTAAAAATGTGTTGTAATTATCAGATTTAACTAAATAAGTGAGGAAAACGCTTCTAGTGATACCCTCCCCGACCACCAGGGGGCGCTATGTAGAGTCCTCATTCAAGTTCTCATTAAAGTACATTTACTTTGGCTGTACTATCTTAGGCAAAAGTAAATACATCTATTTATAATAATAATAATAATAATTCTACAAATTGTTTTTAAAATTAATAATCATTTTAAAACATAACTTTAGTAAGGGTGCAATTTGAGAGATTTTTTCAATTCTAAACTAAATCAGAAGGTTGTTTTTTTCAATCAATAACAACAATTGTAGAAAAGCAGGAGACTCTCGTGGAAGAAGCGGGAAACAGCGATCAATTCACTATTTCTGTTTTCAAAAATATGCGTCTATTATTTATCTACATATCAAAAGTGTTTTTTCTGGAAATGATACGAAACCCAACAAGAAGCAGACGGCAGCCTTTGAACAGAAGGACACGATTTAACCTTCAACAGAATAATTTCAAGTTTATTTCATTTTGTTTCACATGGATCCCATATAATAAGAATACAGTAGAATTCTGGAGAGTCTTGGATATTTTTTTTTCTCTGACTTATCATTATCAATAATACTAATATGAATACATCATACACAATAAACACAGCACTATCCAAAGGCGTAGAGAGAGAGAGAGAGAGAGATGAGAGAGAGAGAGAGAGAGAGAGAGAGAGAGAGAGAGAGAGAGAGAGAGAGAGAGAGAGAGAGAGAGAGAGAGAGAGAGAGAGAGAGAGAGAGAGAGAATATCACAAGACATCATTCACCACTAACAACAGAGTATATTTCATTTCAGCATATGTATAAGAGCTACAGAGAGACAGAGAGAGGAAACAAACAGAGGTGGTGTTTCTACATCTCAAAGAAAGAGTGGATACAAACTGTGCCATCGATCGATATATATTCTGGAGAGATGGACAACAAGTCATCCTGTGGAAGCAAAACTCTACCAATCAAGACACGTCTCTGGAGGTCTGCACGTAGAGGACTGGCAGTATTAGGACGGGTGTTTACATCTGGAAATTATTGCAGCACTCACTTTGTGCTTTGAGTAGAGTATAGCAGAGCTGCTGAGCAGAAACTACGACGACGCTGGATCGAAAAACACGAGTAAAACCAGAGGTGGAAGAGGTACTCTCAGATGCTTGGGTAAAAGTACCAATGCATTCATGTTTAACCCTCCTATTGTCTTCGTTCCCCCCCTTACTTTGGTGTTCGCGGTCAAATTTGACCGGTCCTGTTTTAACTGCTATTACATAAACACAAAAACCATTAATCACCAAGTTTAATTTAACACCCTTTCAAACTGTACATATTGTATCAGACTACTGGTATACATGAACAACTGCAGTACATATACAAAGAACAGACACTGAACATGTATTGCGTGTGCCAGGTGTGATTCATGTGGGGGGAGGGGCACATAAGAGCGGGAAATGTATCAAATTGTTGTGTGCGTGTGTGTGTCAGGCCCAGGTATGATTCACATGGGGGGATGGGCACATAAGGTGGGGGGGGACACATCTAGAGTGTGTGTGTGTGTGTGTTTTATCTGATCCGGATGGTTACTAATTCCTTTCCTTTATGGCGGTCATGTTTGAGCGGGAACACCATGGGTGTTTCAAAGTTGACTAAATCATCCAAAATGCAATGAAAGTGGTGATCAGCTATTTGATATGTTCAAATGTCTACTGTGAAGGATATCATGAAGCCTTAATGCAATCGAATGTAAAACTAAAAAGTTATGATTGAAGAAAGTAGTAAATCGGTCAGATTTGACCCGAAGACAACAGGAGGGTTAAATACTCCATTACAAGTAAAAGTATTATAATCCAAATCAGCCATTATGTGGCACTTTTAGATTGATTACCTTGTTGCACCACGTTTTTTAATGCAAAATCCTATTTTAAAAGCCATTGAAGCTTTAAATTGAATGTAATTGGAAGGTAACACTCCATATATTCCAGTTAGAGTTAAAACAGAAGTATTACCAGCCAAATATCAAAAGCAAAAGTACTCATTCTGCAGAGAAATGGCCTTCACGTGTGATGTATTATTGTTAAATATATGACATTATTGGTGTTAATATTGTTGCATTATGTTGAACTGCTGTAGTCCAACACAGGTCTGATACCAACATTATTTTTATTCAAGACTTTCTTTTTTAACTTTTTGTAATATTTCAGATAAAAGAAAATTGTTTTGTTTTAACGATAATCTTTTATTTGACCTCTTCTAGTTATTTGACTGGTTTAATCTCTAGAGATGCGTCTTGTTATTTGATGCAAAATCTCAATCTTAAGCATTCAAATAAATCAAGTGAAGTAAAAATTGATGATTGTCCTTTTTCGATGTAGTGGAGTAGAAGTATAAAGTACCTCCAAATTGCACGTAAGTAAACACTTTTCCACCCCTGGGTTTTACCGTGTATTCTCACTTTCCTGCAGCTTTAAAGCCTCTCGAATACGTTGACGGATGCTTTTAGGATATAAGGATGCATGCAGTAAATTCACCTTCAGAAAGAGAGGAGATGAAGAAGGGCTGAGGATGCACGAGAGGTTTTATATCGTTCACACCGCCTCGTTATAACAATAATAACAACGTGTTTTTACTGAAATATCCGTGAGTATGTACGCCACTGATTACAGTGTGATAGAAACACCGGTTAGAAAACTACATGACTCTGTCTGACAACTTTCCGGAACAAACACACAGGCGATAAAAAAACAGGACGAAGGTTCTTCGACAGCTCGATCACATAAATCCAAAACGAAGAAACAAACACACACGTCGCTAAAAATGTGTTGTTCGCGGCTCCGGTTCACAAAGTCCTTACTGATAGCACACTATAGCAGCACAGCAAAGATTAAATTATTATTATTATTATGCAACTTTTTGATCTTATATGTCAGGTTTTTAAATAAGTCATTCGATAGTGATATTTGATGGAAAAATATATATAAAAACGTAAAATAAAACAACCTACTACTATCATCTATTCACTGTGTTACCATAAATCACTCCGCTCACTTTTTGTATTAAATTCGGTTTTTCTTCACCCCTTATTTCTTAAATCCTGTCAGTGATTAAAGCAGAAGATGTTGATATATTCTGAGATGAATTAATGATTGTTTTATGATTCATTTAAGGGGATTATTTGAAGGGCAAAGGCTAAACTATGTGAGCTCCTAAACAGAACCAAAGTAAATGCAATTGAATAACTCTGTGCTCAACATTTGTTGTATAACAACTTTTATGGAGTGCACCATTATTCAACTGTGTACATATAATCATATATATCAGCATGTTGATATTTACACAGCACAGACAAATACATTCTCCCAAGTTAAATATTACTACAATTCCCCCCCCCCCTCCCATAAATGTAAGTCTTTCCCAATACAAGATTTCTCTTTAAATGTTCCAATGTTTTGGTTTTTGTATTCAAGTTTTTCTCGTTATAACCAAACAGACAATCCTGTGTTGTCTTCTACAGTTAAATACATCACGAGAATAAACAACATATTATAACAACCACCCCCCCCCCCTCCCGTGGTGCCCCCCTCCCTCCGCCTGTCACTCACAGATACACAAACAGACACACAAAGGAGTGTGGAAACGCAGGCGGGGGTCCAGAGCCACTCCAGAAACACAAGGTCACCCTGAAGGGGGGAGGAAGAGAGGGAGAGATTACATTACATATAGATTGTATTGCTTTTATCAATTGGACAATAATAACCATAAAGATACGGACTCAGAACAGCAAGAGAAATGCAGATGTATACGCTAAACTCTCTAAGTGCACATTTTTTTTAATGTATTATGATATTTTTGGGGCCAAGGTACAAGCAGAACACAGGCTTTCAGTCTTTGGCGGTAGATATGTACACTTTCTGCTGTCCTGATGTCAATGGATAGCTTGTTCCACCATTTTGGGGCGGTACAGAATACAGAAATACACATGTGAAAAAAAAACATTAGTTGTTTTATTGGCCAAGGTCTTTTTAGGAGTTTCTTTACTTTCATTTTGTAATACCATGATGAGCCTCTTTTTTACGGAGCCCCCTAGGGGACATGGAGAAGAAAAAAAAAAATCTCGCAAAACCCCTTTGCGAGATCTCGCAAAACTTTTCATTTGGTACTTCCTGGTCAGTTCGGCTGCTACGGCAACACAGAAACCACAACAATGGAGTGGTTCATCGATTTTACTTTGAGCTTGGCCTTAAATATAAAGATATAACATTAGTGCTTGGCAATAGGCACGGGTTTCACACATAGACTGTATAAAGGGTTTCACATAAGTGAAGATACCTCAAGAGAACACTCAGAGCGAGGGGACATGCACGTTCCTCTGAGCTGAGTTATTGACAGATTCGAATTTCGCGGATAAATAACTCATGAACATAACGTTGTAAAAATACAGACAACATGACTTTACAATCATAGCAAGGTAGACAACGAGCTACAGAGTCGTTTTTATCAGAACAGTTCGATACGCGCCGTCATCCGAGCTAAACATCAATAATTTGTCACAATCCGCAGCTGGAGGAGGGAGAGGAGTGCTTAGGGACCGTCTACAAACTGCAACGGGGTTTTGCGAGATCTTTTTTCTTCTCCATGTCCCCTAGGGGGCTCCGTACTTTTTAAATCATCTAATATATAATGGAAAATAAAAACGAGTCAGCACCCTGGAGCTTTCATTATCATGGCTAATTTTCCTCTTTTATTCATGAGAACTTGAATTGACAGTGCATACTACCAATTATGTTTTAAACTCTCTAAGTGCGCCATTTTTTATTATCTATCATGATATTTTTGGGGGTTTAATGGCCAAGGTACAAGCAAAACAGGTGGGTTTTTCGTCTTTGGCGGTAGATATGTACACTTTCTGCTGTCCTGATGTCAATGGATAGCTTTTTCCACCATTTTGGGGTGGTACAGAATACAGAAATACAGATATGCAAACATCTTTTGTTTGTTTGTATTGGCCTATGGTCTTTCTAGGAGTGTCTGTATTTAGCTAACACCTGAATCTCCTAAAATGTCATATTGTTTTATTATTATTATTTGTTTACGTCATGATGAGCCTCTTTTTAAACCTGCTATTATATAATGGATAATAAAAATGAGTCAGCACCCTGGAGTTATAATTATCATGGCTAATTTTCCTTTTTCATAAGAACTTTAATTGACAAAAATAGGAAGATGCTAACTTCCTGTCAGCTTACAACACCCTGAACCACTCTATTGTGATCTATGTAATCATAACTTAAAGTTCCCCTATTATACTGTGTTTCATCCATATATTATAGGTCTCAGATATATACAGAACATGTCTCTGATTGGCTGAAACACCAAACAGATCATTGCAGCATTACCCATAATCCCCTCTGTTTTAGCCCTGTTTCCAAAGTGCTGATTCTGTCTGTTACTTTAGATGAAAATAAGGAGCCCCTCCCCACGCCCCTCTGAGAGAGATTTGGTTACAAAGAACACAATGCTGCTCTAGGAGGAGATTCAGGTGATAAGGGGGGGGGGGGGGGTTACCTTGGTTGCTGATTGGCTAATGGTTACACAAGACAAAACATCGTTATGACATCATAAAGTGGCCAAAATCTGATCAGCTCATTTTCAGACAGGTTTTTATAGAAATGGATCAAAAAGAGAGAGAATCTTTGTTCCTGAAACTTTCAGAGTCTCTTTCCACAGAGGGGACACATGTTGATGTAGAAGAGACATGAAGAAGAGGGGACACATGTTGATGTAGAAGAGACATGAAGAAGAGGGGACACATGTTGATGTAGAAGAGACATGAAGAAGAGAGGACACATGTTGATGTAGAAGAGACATGAAGAAGAGGGGACACATGTTGATGTAGAAGAGACATGAAGAAGAGGGGACACATGTTGATGTAGAAGAGACATGAAGAAGAGGGGACACATGTTGATGTAGAAGAGACATGAAGAAGAGGGGACACATGTTGATGAAGAAGAGACATGAAGAAGAGGGGACACATGTTGATGTAGAAGAGACATGAAGAAGAGGGGACACATGTTGATGTAGAGGAGACATGAAGAAGAGGGGACACATGTTGATGAAGAAGAGACATGAAGAAGAGGGGACACATGTTGATGTAGAAGAGACATGAAGAAGAGGGGACACATGTTGATGTAGAAGAGACATGAAGAAGAGGGGACACATGTTGATGTAGAAGAGACATGAAGAAGAGGGGACACATGTTGATGTAGAAGAGACATGAAGAAGAGGGGACACATGTTGATGTAGAAGAGACATGAAGAAGAGGGGACACGTGTTGATGTAGAAGAGACATGAAGAAGAGGGGACACATGTTGATGTAGAAGAGACATGAAGAAGAGGGGACACATGTTGATGTAGAAGAGACATGAAGAAGAGGGGACACATGTTGATGTAGAAGAGACATGAAGAAGAGGGGACACATGTTGATGTAGAAGAGACATGAAGAAGAGGGGACACATGTTGATGTAGAAGAGACATGAAGAAGAGGGGACACATGTTGATGTAGAAGAGACATGAACGAGAGGGGACACATGTTGATGTAGAAGAGACATGAAGAAGAGGGGACACATGTTGATGTAGAAGAGACATGAAGAAGAGGGGACACATGTTGATGTAGAAGAGACATGAAGGAGAGGGGACACATGTTGATGTAGAAGAGACATGAAGAAGAGGGGACACATGTTGATGTAGAAGAGACATGAAGAAGAGGGGACACATGTTGATGTAGAAGAGACATGGAGAAGAGGGGGACACATGTTGATGTAGAAGAGACATGAAGAAGAGGGGACACATGTTGATGTAGAAGAGACATGGAGAAGAGGGGACACATGTTGATGTAGAAGAGACATGAAGAAGAGGGGACACATGTTGATGTAGAGGAGACATGAAGAAGAGGGGACACATGTTGATGTAGAAGAGACATGAAGAAGAGGGGACACATGTTGATGTAGAAGAGACATGAAGAAGAGGGGACACATGTTGATGTAGAAGAGACATGGAGAAGAGGGGACACATGTTGATGTAGAAGAGACATGGAGAAGAGGGGACACATGTTGATGTAGAAGAGACATGAAGAAGAGGGGACACATGTTGATGTAGAAGAGACATGAAGAAGAGGGGACACATGTTGATGTAGAAGAGACATGGAGAAGAGGGGACACATGTTGATGTAGAAGAGACATGAAGAAGAGGGGACACATGTTGATGTAGAAGAGACATGGAGAAGAGGGGACACATGTTGATGTAGAAGAGACATGAAGAAGTGGATTTTGCATAATAGGTGTCTTTTAGCATGTCTGTAAGTTTGAGATTATTCATGTTTACACTCACCATCCTGCAGCTGAGGTTTGGTGGGACGGTCTCACATCTGATTGGAGAAGGAGGTGGGCTGCTGCTCATAGCCCTGGCTGTACCCCCCCTCCTCGTTATACCCCTGCTGGCCGTACTCGGGCTGGTACCCTCCCTGGGAGCCGGCGTAGGGGTCCTGCTGGGCGTAGCCTTCCTGGGCGAAGGAGTCAGGGGCGGGCTGCTTCTCCTGAGACGGGACGTATGTTCCGCCGAAAGCGGCCATCCAGCCGGTCTCCTTGAACACGAACCACAGGTTTCCTATCCACAGGATCAGGTTGATGAAGCCGAAAGCCTGGGGGAAGGGAAAGAGAGGGAGGTTTGGAAATGTGAGATTTAGTGTTTCAGGTCTCAAGATCCGCGAAGCTATTTCCGTTGACTCCTTTAAAAGCAAACTCAAAACCCATCTCTTCGCATCTGTCTTCCTTGTCAACTAGCTTCCATCACCTTGTTTCGGCTCATCATTACCATCACTTCAGTCACATTATTATATCCCATGGCAATACTAATATTGTATAATATTTTTATAATTGTTATGCTATGACGTTTGTCTTTGCTTTTGTTTGCTTTGTACAGTTCAGCCCTTTGAGGCATTTCTTGTGATTTGGGGCTATAATACATTTTGATTAGATTTTTGATTTTTGATTCATGATTAAAAGATTCTATAGTCGTATTCACAATAGAGTGGTGCAGGAATGAGTCTTAAAAGCGGAAATTAGCGACCATTTTAGCACTTTTTGGATTTTAGGTAAGATGCCTGAAATAAGGTCTGCGTTTAACACAAGCTGAAAAGAGGAGGGGTTTGGACACGTGAGATTTAGTGTCTCAGGTCTCCAGATTAAAGACTCAAAGGATTTATAGAAGTATTGACAAAAGAGGGGTGTAGGAAAGAGTCTGAAACACAGAAATGAGTGAGCTTTATAGCACCTTGCGTTTCCTCTTCTCAAAGTCAATGGGTTCTTGGTTGTTATCATGGAATAGGGTCTGTATGTTCTACGACATAAACTACTGCCCCACTGGTGACTTTAAAAATGGCGGTTGCTAATAAGTGTCTAAATGAGACGACTAAACTTCAGCACGCACAACATTAGCCGCCTTTAGCTTAGCGGTGGTGACGTAAAGTCATATGACCGTGCTGTAGTTCCTTTATAGCCCAACATTAGCCACCTTTAGCTTAGCGGTGGTGAAGTAAAGTCATGTGACCGTGCTGTAGTTCCTTTATAGCCCAACATTAGCCGCCTTTAGCTTAGCGGTGGTGACGTGAAGTCATGTGACCGTGCTGTAGTTCCTTTATAGCCCAACATTAGCCACCTTTAGCTTAGCGGTGGTGACGTGAAGCCATGTGACCGTGCTGTAGTTCCTTTATAGCCCAAAATTAGCTGCCTTTAGCTTAGCGGTGGTGACGTGAAGTCATGTGACTGTGTAGTTCCTTTATAGCCTAACGTTAGCTCTTTATTTCACAAATCATGAAGTGGGGTTAATATGTGGAGATTATCCTGCTGAACAAAATGTGACTGTTTGACACAGTTTATATTCTTCAATAATCCGAAGGGCTTTTAGACGAGGGAACAGTAAGTGTTAAGGAACAACTGGACAAAACGTTAAAATCTCTTCAGCTTGTGTTAACCACTGACCTTATTTCAGGCTAACCATTGATTTTCTAGACGAGGGAACAGGAAGTTCTAAAAGGAGTAATTTAAAGATTTTTCGGACTAATTCTTACAGCTTTATATAGTTTTGTTTAGCGGTGACGTACCACAGAGGTGTTGAGGCCGGACACTTTGGGGTCGTTGACTTCACGGCAGCGGTTCTCTGGTTCCTCGCAGGCGGCGATGAGCGTGACGACCCGCTCCGGATCCGTGGCTGTTTTCACATCCGACAAACCTTTAGCCCAAGCACATGAGGAGACCAGCCACATGAAGGCAAACACTGCCGACACCACGAAGTCCTGCGAGACATCGAGAGAGAATATAACGTTAACAACTACCACAGGTGGAAGAAGTATTAGGATCATTTACTGAAATACAAGTACTGAGGCAAGGCAAGGCACGTTTATTTATATAGCACTTTTCAACAAAAGGCAATTCAAAGTGCTTTACAAAAATGAAAGACATTGAGAGCATAAAACACATTAGAAACATTAAAAGGCAAAGATAATAAAACATGAATAATGCAGATACATGAATAAAAGTTACAGTGCAGTGTGAGATGTGAATAGTTCAATTAAAAGCAGTGACAAAAAGAAAGTCTACGGCCTGGATTTAAAAGTAGTAAGCGACAATGACAATATCCTTAGCCAAATTCTCACATTCCTCTACCCCTAGTCTTCCCGTGAAATCATAGTTCTTTTGACAGTTTTCTAACCTTTTTAGGTAATGCAAAAGGAATCTGTATCTTAAGGAGTAAAGGGACTCACAATCTGGGGCCCCTTGCAGTTTTCGCGGTACTTCTCCAGGAGGAAGCAGTACACAGAGAGGGAGGCCATGGCGTAGAGGAAGGAGAAGACACCGATGGTGACGAAGAACTCGGCGGAGGAAGAGTAGTCCCCGACCAGGAAGAGGCGCTCGGGGTTCTCTCCCTTGCAGGTGGGGGCGTCGAAGTACACCTGGTGGAGCCTGGGGACAGAGACAAAGACAGAAGATAAGAGAGAGACAACAATGGAAATACAGGTCTCAGATGTAGGTACATTCTTTTATTTTTTTTACAAGACAAGTGCATACAAGTACAGTTTCACAGATACACAGAAGACAGTAAGGTGAACGTACAAGTAAAGACAAATAACAAGTTACAAAATACGCATGGAGACAAATCTAAGGCCATGGTTCTCAGCAGGAAACCGATGGACTGTCCACTCCAAGTAGGGAATGAGTCCTTACCCCAAGTGAAGGAGTTCAAGTATCTCGGGGTCTTGTTCTCGAGTGAGGGAACAATGGAGCGTGAGATGGGCCGGAGAATCGGAGCAGCGGGAGCTGTACTGTAGTCGCTTTACCGCACCGTTGTGACGAAAAGGGAGCTGAGCCAGGAGGCAAAGTTCTCTGTCTACCGGGCCATTTTCGTTCCTACCCTCACCTATGGTCATGAAGGATGGGTCATGACCGAAAGAACGAGATCGCGGATACAAGCGGCCGAGATGGGTTTTCTCCGCAGGGTGGCTGGTGTCTCCCTTAGGGATAAGGTGAGAAGTTCGGTCATCAGGGAGGGACTCGGAGTTAAACCGCTCCTCCTTCGAAAGGAGCCAGTTGAGGTGGTTCGGGCACCTAGTTAGGATGCCACCTGGGAGGTGTTCCAGGCACGTCCAGCTGGGAAGAGACCAAGGGGTAGACCTAGGACCAGGTGGAGGGACTATATCTCTTCGCTGGCCTGGGAGCGCCTTGGGATCCCCCAGTCAGAGCTGGTTGATGTCGCCAGGGAAAGGAAAGTGTGGGGCTCTCTGCTGGAACTGCTACCCCGAGACCCGACCACGGATAAGCGGGAGAAGATGGATAGATGGATGGAGGTGGAGAGAAAAAACAAAAACAAATACAGTGTGTATGTGTGTGTGTGTGTGTGTGTGTGTCAGAGTTCCCGTTAGCCGGTAATTACCGGACTACGACCGGTAAAATATGCTGAAGACCGGCAAATCTAAATCTCTCCGGTCAAAGTGTCCGTTCAAAAATAATTTCCGTTTAGCGCAATACCACATCAGTTGCGCAACTTGCGCCATTTATGTGACAGACAAAAGAGTATGTGACAGACAAGAATAGTCAATTCTAATGTCTAACCTGTGTCTAACACGTAATGTGGAGAAAGAGATATCCTGTATGGGTTGATTGTGCGTTGATCTGTTGGTAATGCCTCGGGGTTCCGGTGGGCATGTAAACAAATGCATAATGCTGCGCTATACTTTGCGGCCTCACCCGGTTGCATAGCGACACTTATTGTGTAGGTGTCTTTTCATAAGCAGGTAGTCATATCATTAGCTAGAACTAGCTAGATCTGATCGATATGGACATAAACGCGAGTGAAGTCTAATCTGACGGGAGAGAGAGATCAGCTGCTGCTGACGAGTCGACACGCAGCTCTGCATGATCACATGCAGTGGTGAGCGAACAAAACACACACTTCAGGTTAGAATATCACACGTAGCTATTTTAATGACCTCTCAAACTACCGTAACTAGTTATAGATATGTTTAGTTTTACTGTCGGGTCACTCATTACTGGATCCGCGAGCTGCATGATACTGACGGGCTGTCAGGAGAGGGAGAGCGCTCCGTTTATTATTCCCGTGTTATTATAAATTACTGTTCACTTTTGAATAATGTAGTTAATCTACTATAATTAGTTTGTTTAATATCGAATCATATCAATTTGTTTTAAAGCACAATAAATAACAAAGAAGACCTTTGACCGGCACTTTTCTCATTTTGTCCGGAAGATTTAAACTTTAACGGACATGTTGACCGGCGAAAAAATATTCTAACGGGAACTCTGGTGTGTGTGTGTGTGTGTGTGTGTGTGTGTGTGTGTGTGTGTGTGTGTGTGTGTGTGTGTGTGTGTGTGTGTGTGTGTGTGTGTTTGTGTGGCCTAGCATTACTATACTTGTGGGGACCTAAATCTGTTTACACAGTCACGTGTGGGGACTCGCCTCCCTTATGGGGACAAATTGGAGGTCCCCATGAGGGGAATCATTAATTTTAGGGTGAAGACTTGGTTAGGTTTAGGGTTAGGATAAGTCTCCAGGAAATGCATGTAAGTCAATGTAATGTCCCCTGAAGTGACGTGGTGTGTGTGTGTGTGTGTGTGTGTGTGTGTGTGTGTGTGTGTGTGTGTGTGTGTGTGTGTATGTGTGTGTGTGTGTGTGTGTGTGTGTGTGTGTGTGTGTGTGTGTGTGTGTGTGTGTGTGTGTGTGTGTGTGTGCGTGCGCTATGTTTGTGTGCGCTATGTGTGATATGAGGGGGGGGGCATGTAAATAGTAGCATGACCTTAAAGACCTTAAAGAAGTAGAAAGGAGTGTTGGCTGATATCGTAATAAGGATTATGAATGAAATGCAGGTACATTTTTAAAGATTTCATTGATTATATAAGTTTGTGTACAATGTGGTTGGAGACAGCCAGGGGACGATAGCTTAGCATAAAGACTGGAAACCTCCTAGCACCTCTGAAATTCACTATCACATTAGATGTATTTATTTTATATTAGTTAAAAAATAGAAGTGTAAAATGACCTTCCTATTATCACATATACCTTTTATATGCTTACTTTTTGCAAAGGTGATTATTTAATGTTTAATGTATCTATCCAACGATCTACACGTATTGCAATATTCAAGAGGCTTTTTATATACCAGAATAAAGAAAAATCCTCTATCACATTAGACCTTGCTGTAACATATTTGGCATTAACTATTCATCACGAATTGTTTTGCTTGAATGTGGATTTGAAGTTTGTGAGAAGTTGATTTTTAAAAAGGGATACAATTGAGTTTTGAGACGTACCTGAACGGATATTCAAATTCTACTTCTATCCCGAGGTCGCTCTCCGACCGGTTTTTACACTCCACGCTCATCTTGAACATGCCGGAGTAGCTGCCGCATGTCGAGAAGGCAAAGATGGCAAAGATCTGCAGGAGACAAAATGGAGGAGACAAAAACTCAGTGAGAATCAAAGGAAACACACATTTTAAATCACATTTTCCTTCATGGCTGGAGTATGAAAACTATGTACCTTAGATAAATCATTTTTAAAATTGGGGGGAAAAAAATAGCTCCAAACAACAATATATAAAATATTCGTACCTATACTGCATTACAACAGACAATAACAATAACAACAGTATAATAATGCTGAAATAAATCAATAAAATTACTATGAATGTATTTTATTGTATGTAGTAATTAATGTATGTAGTTTTACATTTTTATGAATGAACTGAATAGTATTACAAATCCAGTTTTGTTTGTATACTGTAACCATGTAAACTACACAGAGCTGCAGAGACGTAAACAGGTGACGGCTGCAGACTGATCGACCAATCACAGCGCATATCAATGCTTGTTGCCATGGTTACACCCACACTTGTGTTTTCTGTGGATGTTTCCTAGTGTTTGTGTGTTACTCAATTCAGGCTCTGTTACTACCTCTCGCTGTTATGTAAACGCAGTGATGGAAGAAGTATTTCGATTATATATTATTGAAATGTTTGCTGGGTGAATTCTGAATTAAATATCATTATTTATGAATTTCCTAAATGTTTACATCGTATTTATAATGATAACAGTACTTGAATAAATGTACTGTAGTTACATTCCACCTTTGAAGTATACAGCATAAACAGACAGTGTGTGGGGATAAACTCACACACACACACACACACCATGTATACATCACTTCAGGGGACATTACATTGACTTACATGCGTTTCCTGGAGTCTTATCCTAACCTTAACCATAACCAACACATGCCTAACCCTAACCCTTACCCTAACCAAGTCTTCACCCTAAAATGAATTATTCCCCTCATGGGGACCTCCATTTTGTCCCCATAAGGGAGGCGAGTCCCCACACATAATAATAATAATTCCTTACATTTATTATAGCGCTTTTTCAATGACTCAAAGCGCTTTACATATACACACATTACACATATATCATACATGCAATGGTCAGATACTGTGGACAATACCCACAGGAGCAAGTTCAGGTGAAGTGTCTTGCCCAAGGACACACCGGCTTTACAGACGCGGGTTTCACCCCTTGATCTGATGATCATTGCACAGCGCACTGCGCCACACCGTCCATCTTCACACCTCGAGGTCATCGAGGCGCTTTTACAAGTACACATTGGTATTATACATGTACTGTGGACAATACCCACAAGAGCAAATCCGGGTGAAGTGTCTTGCCCAAGGACACAACGACCTGACGCAGGAGCGGGTTTCGAACTGGAGTTCCCCAGCACTCCAGTACTCCCCCTTGATCGGATGCACAGACCACTGCGCCACCCGTCCTTTACATGACTGTGTAAACAGATTTAGGTCCCCACAAGTATAGTAATGCTAGGCCACACACACACACACACACACACACACACACACACACACACACACACACACACACACACACACACACACACACACACACACACACACACACACACAGCAGATTAGACATGTCAGACTATTTTTACCGCTCCCCCCTGGGCTTCAGGCAGATCCGATTGGAGGGAAAATCCAGCTATTAATCTGACGGAGGTGGTCCACCATCTGCCACCGAGTACACAAGACATCCAGTCACAACACACACACACACGCACACACACACACACACACACACACACACACACACACACACACACACACACACACACACACACACACACACACACACACACACACACACACACACAGGCACAGCTTGCAGTATACCTGCTTCAGGCTCAAAAACACTAAACTATTTACAGTAATCTCTCAGAGGCTCGTTGTTGGATTTACACACCAAGGCTCATTGTCATCGCTTTACTCTTCGTCTTCTTTTCCTGCAGGATTTTATTTTCATAACGCAAAACACTGCAGGCTATATTTCTTCTTTAACAGGTTCATTCAGGTTCACTCATTATTACCTACTTTATCACTAAAACATGCAGAAGATGTGTTTTAATGGCAGTATTTTTTATTTATGAAGTGACACAAAGACATCTCCTCTGTAAAAATACTTTTACTCTAATAATAAAAAAGAATCAAGAATTTTCATGGCTTTCTCCAACGTTCACATTTCTGTGCTAGACATTTTAGAAAAGAACATTATTAAACATTCAGAAAACTTGTAATGCAAAACAATATTCTGTCAGCACAACCTGGAAAGTGTCATGGTGATATCTATAAGTACATTTTTATTTTACCCTATTCACCTTTTTAATTCTCGTGTCCTCTCCCAACACCTCCTTGTTGGCAGATAACTAATCAACAGGTTTTAATAAGCAATGCAAATGTCTGTAGATGTGATGAAGGTGGCAGCATTACTGCTGACTACTGATAGATAACAGAATGCATTATACACTTATAGCTAAGAGAACATTGCCATCTGTCATCGGGTTTCTTAGTTACCATAAAACCCAAAAACAGAACCATCTCTACATAATTATCACAATGTTGGAGCTATGTTCTCGTGCAAATCTTAGAAATATTAAAGCTTCATGACATTTGTCTAATTGCACACTGAAACCCAGGAAGTGTCGCTCTTAATGCACATGTGAGTTGTGTTTTAAACTTTCCCTTTAAAACTCTCAGACACAATACCAGGCTGTGATGCAGCACCAGCAGAGGCAGCTGTGCAACGAATACCTGCAGCAGCGTTTCACAACTGCAGAGTCGGCACAATCCTTCACACAGTGCACATTTTATCCTAAAATAAATCATGCAATCCATCTTTTTCTGATTAGTCTCAATGTGTTATGGCACTACAGCGGCTGTTTTTCTTTTTCCTTTAGACTCAAAGGTTTCTTAGAGCCCCTAGATACTATGTATTATTCCTCTGAGACATTTAGAGCTTAGGATTTCATGAGAGGGATCAATATTAAGGTTTTAAGGTTTCATATCAGTATTTAGTGTCTCTACTTTAAAGAGTCCTCTCCTGCTGATGTCCAGGTGTATATCAGTATGTAGTGTCTCTACTTTAAAGAGTCCTCTCCTGCTGATGTTCAGGTGTATATCAGTATTTAGTGTCTCTACTTTAAAGAGTCCTCTCTTGCTGATGTTCAGGTGTATATCAGTATGTAGTGTCTCTACTTTAAAGAGTCCTCTCCTGCTGATGTTCAGGTGTATATCAGTATGTAGTGTCTCTACTTTAAAGAGTCCTCTCCTGCTGATGTTCAGGTGTATATCAGTATGTAGTGTCTCTACTTTAAAGAGTCCTCTCCTGCTGATGTTCAGGTGTATATCAGTATGTAGTGTCTCTACTTTAAAGAGTCCTCTCCTGCTGATGTTCAGGTGTATATCAGTATGTAGTGTCTCTACTTTAAAGAGTCCTCTCCTGCTGATGTTCAGGTGTATATCAGTATTTAGTGTCTCTACTTTAAAGAGTCCTCTCCTGCTGATGTTCAGGTATATATCAGTATGTAGTGTCTCTACTTTAAAGAGTCCTCTCCTGCTGATGTTCAGGTGTATATCAGTATGTAGTGTCTCTACTTTAAAGAGTCCTCTCCTGCTGATGTTCAGGTGTATGTCAGTATGTAGTGTCTCTACTTTAAAGAGTCCTCTCCTGCTGATGTTCAGGTGTATATCAGTATGTAGTGTCTCTACTTTAAAGAGTCCTCTCCTGCTGATGTTCAGGTGTATATCAGTATGTAGTGTCTCTACTTTAAAGAGTCCTCTCCTGCTGATGTTCAGGTGTATATCAGTATGTAGTGTCTCTACTTTAAAGAGTCCTCTCCTGCTGATGTTCAGGTGTATATCAGTATGTAGTGTCTCTACTTTAAAGAGTCCTCTCCTGCTGATGTTCAGGTGTATATCAGTATGTAGTGTCTCTACTTTAAAGAGTCCTCTCTTGCTGATGTTCAGGTGTATATCAGTATGTAGTGTCTCTACTTTAAAGAGTCCTCTCCTGCTGATGTTCAGGTGTATATCAGTATGTAGTGTCTCTACTTTAAAGAGTCCTCTCCTGCTGATGTTCAGGTGTATATCAATATGTAGTGTCTCTACTTTAAAGAGTCCTCTCCTGCTGATGTTCAGGTGTATATCAGTATGTAGGGTCTCTACTTTAAAGAGTCCTCTCCTGCTAATGTTCAGGTGTATATCAGTATGTAGTGTCTCTACTTTAAAGAGTCCTCTCCTGCTGATGTTCAGGTGTATATCAGTATGTAGTGTATCTACTTTAAAGAGTCCTCTCTTGCTGATGTTCAGGTGTATATCAGTATGTAGTGTCTCTACTTTAAAGAGTCCTCTCCTGCTGATGTTCAGGTGTATATCAGTATGTAGTGTCTCTACTTTAAAGAGTCCTCTCCTGCTGATGTTCAGGTGTATATCAGTATGTAGTGTCTCTACTTTAAAGAGTCCTCTCTTGCTGATGTTCAGGTGTATATCAGTATGTAGTGTCTCTACTTTAAAGAGTCCTCTCCTGCTGATGTTCAGGTGTATATCAGTATGTAGTGTCTCTACTTTAAAGAGTCCTCTCCTGCTGATGTTCAGGTGTATGTCCATTTAGAGTTACTTTACATTGACAGATGAGAGGAAGGAGGAGTGATAGGGGGGAGGAATGAAGGAGTGAGGGAGGAGGGATGGAGGAGTGATGGGGGAGGAAGGAGAGAAAATAAATGGTGGCACGCAGAGTGTTGGGTGCCATGGAAACAGTGCTGGCAGCGTCACACAGCGAGGAGGCAGAGGACGGTTTTCACATGGAGACACAATATCCGAGTGTGTGTGTGTGTGCGTGCGCGTGTGTGTGTGTGTGTGTGTGTGTGTGTGTGTGTGTGTGTGTGTGTGTGTGTGTGTGTGTGTGTGTGTGTGTGTGTGTGTGTGTGTGTGGGTGGGTGTCCACTACTGATGTATGAAATGAAAGTAGAGGATGATGCATCGAGACGTTTTAATGATGCTGCTTCAGGGTCCCTTGATATGCTGCAAAACAGAAT